AGACCAGTTGCCATCCTGCTATTTACCCATAAAGAGAAGAAGATTCATACCTACTCAAGAGTATGAGCACGTAATTGAACGTAATGGATTCGACTGGAATTCGAACTCGGCTCTCCGATTCTTCAATCCGAGCCGCTATCCATTGGGAATATTAACAGCGTGAAAATATGTTGAATATTAAGAACATTTTCTAAATCTCTGAAAACAATCAAACTACCACTTAAAAAAAAATACGTAGAAAAATGTCAATGTTTGGCGAGCAATAAGAGGACATTTGTAGTGCCAACTGCATAGTTCCATTGGTTGCAAAGTAATTGTTAGACATTTTCATGACGGTCGTCCTCAAGTATTGAATCCAGAGGTTGGCAGTGAATATTTCGGAGACAGTAGGAAAGCGTACTTTAGGTTCGCAGTAGATATCACAGCAGAGTGTAGTTCACCCTTCTCCTGGTCGCCTTTGGTCCTTCCGGTAGGAGGAAACAAGATGGCCGCCTTTATACACGATGAATACAGTGTTGGGCGGCTTCTGATTGGTCAACCTTCTATTGGTCGACTATAAAGGGAAATAAGTCATTCTGACTCGATCACTAGTTATACGTATTATAAACCCAAAAAACCGTAACAGTAATGTCTTTCATGGATATAAAAAGCAGTGCAACTAAGGAAGCAACGAGAAGTTGAAGTAATGTTTAAAGTATGAACATTATAAATCCCTTTGTCATAATAAAAGGAGAGAATTATTAAGATCTTTGAGAAAACGTTTTATTGAATGGTACAAAACGCAACTGACGAATCTTAAGGCTAAAATATATATTCATGAAATCTAGGTCCCATCTTTTTACTTTTGAACGCCACTTCTACTCCAACTGTTTCTTTTCTTGCACTTCCCGTCTGTGGAACTCCCTTCCGTTTACTTGTTTCCTTGATAACTACAATCCCCCCAAAATTAAATCGCCATTTTCTATCTTCTTGAATCTCTGTTCAGCATTTATCCTTTCCCATGTTCACACTCCATATCCAGTCTTTTCTGTCACTTTCGCTCTCTGTAACCCCATGTGTGCTAGTGGCATCCCCTCCTTGCTTATAGTGAAATGATTAAAAAAAAAGAAGACAATAACCTTTTACGTTCTGTACGTCTGACTGTTACTCAGCTCCGCCACAGAAAAAAAGAACGACACAAAGATAACAAATTAATGAAATAACGCCAGATATATCTATTTATAAAAGGCAGGATGTGTGTGTGTGTGTGTGTGTGTGTAACGAATTCACGGCCGCAATTTTCGACGGGTTTGCACCAAATTTTACATGCACATGCTCCAAGTTAGCGGAAAGGCCAAGTCCGACGTTGCATTTCCCAACTCCCATCGATAGTGGAAATAATCGATTTTTTCATGCTTCTACGGCAGTTTTCATGTAGTTTGCGGCCATCTTCTACTGACCAGAGTAAGAGCCTATAGCTGGCTGCCACGAATAAGCAGGAAGATTCTATTGGCCAGCGTGAGAGCCAACAGCTGACTGACACGAATGTTAACTAGCATGCTAGTATGCAACAAAAATCGATAGCTGCATTCGTCACAAGTGGGAAAAATTTAAATCTGCATGGCACTTTACTCCAATTGGCTCATTCGCTTGCTTAAACTCAACGTTGATTCTGATTCCGCAGAAATGGGTTGGATGTGAAAAAGTATTTGTTGTTAACATTCTTTTTTCATTCGGTTTTTTCCAGTTACGAGTCTTTTTTTTAAGTTGATCGTTTTGTGTTCATTTTGTTTAGTTCTTTTTTCGTAACAGATTTAATGTTTAATATAGAGCTTAGAAAAAAATTCGCAGTGTGAGATAGGCAAGAACTAAGGCATGTAGCAACATCCGCACGGCAAAGAGCACTTCTTTAAAGGTAAGGAAGGGCAAAAATATTTTAAGTCAAGTGATAGCGATTGCTGTATGAGTCGTACGATTTTTGAATCAAGCACGTGCAACGCCGGGCCATGCTGCTAGTTTGTAGTATGTGTCTCACCAAAAATAACAAAATAGACTTTGTATCCAGTGTTATACAGATGCATCCGAGAAGTCAGGTGTATCAGCGGGTTGATTTGAAAGATAACCTCGTAGTCACCAGGTGAAAATCCGCGCCTTGCAGGTTGTTAGTGGCTGCCCCTGACATGTAAACAAGTAGTTGACTTAACTGTGTTTAGGATGTGCTGACCTGGAACAAAATATATGAAAAGTAGATACATTACAGTTCGAGAAGGAAAAGTAGATAGTATATTGCACCCTCCCAAGAATGTAGAATCTATGTTCGGTGAAAGACTCAAAGCCGTACACCGACTCGCTGACAGTAAATGATGAACTCCGGTGTTCAATAAATAATAATATTACATGACTAGATGCGAGGGTGTCTCGTCAGTATTCTAACGATGTTGTGACAGAACCTTTTTGCTTGATATATTGTCTGAAATTGGAATTGTTTTAGCCGCTTGTATCTCCTGCTTCTAAATGTTATTGAAAACATATCTCCCAAGCCCAGTACTTGGTGAGGGCGGAGGATTGGCCGTTGATTCCCTCCACCCAACCAGGTCGATGCTTGGACATAAGGTAAGCCGTATATTCAGTCACCATCATAAGGAAGAAGGTAGACAACCACTTGCTGTCCCGTGTGAGTATAGTTTCGCTCTAGCAGAAACCAATTTACATTTTTCTTTGTTTTTTCTTTTTTGTTTTTTTTTTTGTTGTTCTTTTCGTTTTTTTAAATTTTTCTATTTTTTCCCTCCCCAATCTCCAGACTACACATTATTCCAACGGAAAAAATTTGCCCTATCATTAAATCGAATGTATATGAGAAATGGAAAATAATATTGAAGCAAAGAAGGATGCTTGGAAAAATAAAAAAAGAAAATATTAGAAAAGTTGACAAAATAAAAGAAGGGAAAACTAGCGAAGGTTATAGAATGTATAGTTGGCCACTTGTATTCGCGGATACCCGTCAAATAGGGCGGCTAGCCAATCCCTATTGCAGACGCTTGCTCAGGCACATTTGTGTTTATTCAACACCCACAGAGCCCACCTGTGGTTTATACTGCAACTCTACTGAGCAGACCTTAGTTACAGTTTCTGGGAAAGAGCGTGTTTTCTAGCGTGATAAACAATTTGAACAAGGCCAGCACACTCAATCCTTCGGTCACAGCTATCGACAGAACCCAAGGGATCTGTCTACCCAATTTCATTCACAAAGCTTGGGTCAACCCATGGCACTTTCCAAAAGTGTCGTGTGCTGGGATCGACCACTCCAGTCCAATAACATTGACCATGGTGAGATTCGAACCCGGGTCTTATTGTTAGAACACGAACGTTCTAACCATTCGGCCACCTGGAATGTAAAGTGGACATTTTTCTCTTTCTAATTCTCTATACTCTTCTTGCCATAAATATATTGTAAGTGTCAGCTACATTTTCTGATCCGAAGCAGAAGTCTCCATTTTGTTCCATTTTCCCTTAAAAGATCCCTGCTGCTGCTATGTTCCGTTCATGAGATTCTCAGCATCCTCCTGTAGAACCACATTTCTATTGTCTCAAGTCTCCTTTTCACATGTGACGAAATTGTCCAGCATTCACTCTCATAAAGGAGGGCTTATATTACATACTAGTTCAGCAGTCTTTTCTTTATCTCGAGGGAAATATTTCCCTGTTTTTTTTAATATTTTGGAAGCCCATATGAAGATATAAAATAAGGTAAACATTTATCCAGGTATACTATTTACATTATTCAGACTATTGTCCTCATCTTCGTTGCCGTATCACAACGTTTCGGCCGTTGTACGCTCCGGTTTTCAGGTGGTTGAAATGTCGAACTGAACCCTTTATTTCGCTCGCTGGGGTAGACTGTTCTAGTTCCACGTGCCATGTCTAATGGGTGTCAGTTATCAATCTCCTGTTAATTCACCTCTCCAAGTTCTCCACTGCCTTAACCAGGTATTGAACTCACAACTCTTTTGGGTCCTGTCACTAGATCAAACCAACGCCTTTATCCACTGTGCCATGTGTCCTTAGCTATCTTATTATAATTCAGCCTGTCCCTCCCTTACTTAGCACAACCGTTACACCCTGCCAATACGTCATAAATAATTAACTATTCTGTTTTGATCTTGTGGAAAGACAAAAGACGCATAAGAGACGCTACTTGGTTTTAGCGAGAAAATGAAAGAAAAAAAAAAGAAAGAAAAGAAGGAAGGAAGGAAAGATAGAAGTGTCTAACGTCTGTTTCAGGGAAATGGAAAAAGTTGTCAATTTCAAATCTTTTCATTTGTACCCCCGTACTTCTTAAAATAACGAATAGCATTCATTTATGATTGTTATTGAAATATTTTGTTGCAGTTGTTAAGCTCAAATATAACGATGCGATAGGGTCTTTTTTATTTTATTGTTTGGGGAGTTAACTCTTTCCCCATAGCTGGGATCATGACAGGTGCTACTAGTCCGGGTCAGGGTGGACCTCAGAACAACAGCAATTAAGAGATGGTTCCACACTCCTCAAAACCTCCTGACCAGAGGTCTTGCTGTTGGATGAAGTTTATCGTCATACCAAGGACGGTCCATGATGTGAATTGAGGAACTCAAAAGTTATTTCTTCAAAATTATCATTGCTATTTTATAAGCTAGATCAGTGGTTTGTTTAATTTGGGGCCTGAGGCCCAATTAGCTCTCAGCGGGATCTAGCATAAAAGTCTCCACAGTGTGCGCCTTTTAAGCCAGTTGTATAATAATACGTGACTAGTCTAAAAGAAGCTATTATCGATATTATTTGTTACATATAAGCTGAAACTTAGAGGATATATTATCCATATAAATATTGTTAAGAATATCAGTTGATTAAATATAACATTTTTACAGTGAAAACATTGATTTTTGTAATAAAATCTGACAGAGATCTTTCTAACAGTCCATACATTGCGTTTTTATCTCTCAATCGAAGGGTTACGGCCACATTACGTACAATTACCAAAATGACCAAATCACGTACGATCACCAAAGTTAAGCAACATTGAGCCTGGTCAGTACCTAGATGGGTAATCACTTGGGAATACCAGCTACTGTATTGTTGGTTGTGGGGTGGCATAAGGGGTAACAGCTTAGAATTGGAAATCTGGTGTGGTACGAGGCCTGATAGGATCATCATAGCGCTCAGTCTGATAAGGGTATATTCGGGTCATGCATTGCGTGGCGTAATTACAGGTTTTATTAATAGCCTTGCGGGTGGGGGACTAGTTAGATATGGCTTCAAGTCGGGTAACTCGAACTGCCTACGATTGAAGGTGCTCCCAAGTATTTAGATATGGCTGCCAAAGTTTCATTTCTGTTGTCTTACATTTATCTCTCCGTCTCCACACACACACACACACACACACATATACATATACATACACAGAGGCTTGCAGCCATAACTCGTAGAAACATCGGTTCTCGTACGAAGTTAAGCAACGTCGATCCTGGTCAATATCTAGATGGGTGACTGCTAGTGAATACAAGGTATCACTATGGTTACTACAGCTATCGGCTTATGGTCAACTCACGTAAAAACATCGGTTCTGGCACGATCACCGAAGTTAAGCAACATCAAGCCTGGCCAGTACCTAGATCGCTGACCGCTTTTGATTTGGAGGTGCAGTTGGTGTAAGGGAGTAATGGATAGCTGAGTTCGATTTCCAGTTATATTCAAATACTCTTGCGAAAAGTATGTATCTACTTCTCCTCCCATCTACGGGTTAATTAGTTGGACTTGTATCAGTAAATCATTATTATTTCCAAACACTTCTTACAATCTAAAAATATTTTCTAGTTTTGAATAACCTGAAAAAGATTGGCAAGCGGTAAACAATAAACCAATCAATTAATGAATTTATTTCAGTCTATCTATCTATCTATCTATTGGGTTGGTGCAAAATTATCAGGCGTTTTTGTAGGCGAGTTATTTGTTAATAAAAATTGCTGTGTTGTTTACTTTTTTTTAATAAAAATATTTTATTTTCAGGTTATAAAAATGCGTGTCGATAATCACACGCTCCTGAATAATCATTTAAAAATGTTCTTGCTGAATTGGTCTTTTTTTTTTTTTTCATAACAAATATTGTTTTTTTAAAAAAACGCCTGATAATTATGCACTAACCCATTATACGATTCCGGAGACGCCGATATCGGTCAGTGAGAAGGCGGTTGTGACGTACCAGTAGTAATCGTAGTTGGGAAAATTGTTCGAATGACTGGCGCCATGAATCGATTTGAGGCATCATGGCGGAGATCACTTCGATTGTGGGTGAAAATAAATATTTATTTCGAGTAACCATTTTCAAAGTTCTATGATTTTCAAAGTTCAGTTGAACTGGAGACACGGGGTTATGACATGATCAGTTTCCCATCTGACTTGGAGTTGGAGAATTCTTTCCATTTTATACAGAAAAACTGTGGCCCCGATCGCTTTATCTGTTTAAAATGTCTTCGGATTGTTTGGGAGTTTGAGAATCCCTAAATCTTTGCATATTCTCAGCATTGGAAGCTTTCCTGGCTGCTGTTTAATCTAAGTTTTCATTTGCACAGGACTTTCTTTTCATCACTGCAGCCTTGGTTCTTTTGATTTCAATCTGGTCTTTTGTTGGCATAGATTTCTTTTTGCAAGGCATACTGCCACTGTATGCAATAGGCAACAATAAACTTCAAAAGAACTCAAAACTGATCACTGCATTTAAATATTGCATCAATATTTAAGCTTACCTTTTAAAGGTTAATTAATAATTCCTCTGCTGCCACCTAATTTAAAGACATTTTGATGTACATAGGTCCTCACTTTCCATATAAACAATTATTTTAATTTCATGAGTGACTTTTTGATAGATTTCTCAATTAATTTTTATTATTCCCAAATTTATTTTCAAGTTAAAAAAATTGTTATCATACAAAAAGTTTGTCACAAAAAAAATTACATAAAAATGGCTAGAAACAATCACAGTAATGAAAACTTGGGAATCCAAAATTTCAAGATTGCAGGTCTAGATCTAGTCGGGAATGTTTTTAATTTGTTCACAGAGTTGGCCTATGGCTTCTAGGAGTTAAGCTGAAAAAGTGTGACACACTGACATTCACACACACACACACATATAAAATCTGATTGGTTGATTATGATCCCGTCATCAGGCAGAGCCATCTTTACGCCAAAAATTGATGATCATGAGATTTTGCTGTCAAATTTGGAAGCGTCACAATTCAGTGAACGTAGCTAATGACAGAAAAGTGTTAAATGATTCACGTCACCAAGATGTTAAGTAGTTCATGACAACGTATAAATGTCAGGGATTTAATTGAATTGAATTTTAGTAACAATTTCAAAAGGTTCAATAAATAAAGATTAAATTTGTGTAGAAATAGTTTTAGTGCTTTCTACTTTGTTGGAATGTGGCGGATAATGTGGCATCAAGAAAAAACGATTATGGTAATAATAATAATAATGAGGATGGTGATGGCAGAATAAACAAAAATGGAACAGCTGCATCTATTGCAAGGAAAGTTGGGTCACTGTGTCGTGCCAAAAGTCCATCTTGCACATTT